TTAGATAAAAAGTTATAGCCATTTAAAAAATTGAAACACTTTGTGTAACTGTTGAGTATAGACTTCCTGCACCATAGTAGAAAAGTTTATGGTACACAAACAACAGCATTCATCACGTTGCCTCCGCAATAATAATACATGTATATATGGATATCCAAAACCTCTAATTTCAGAAACATATGTCGATGACAAAGGCTATGTACAATATCGTCGCCGGGCACAAGAAGATGCATGGATAGTACCATATAATCCTATGCTACTCCTAAAACTAGAATGTCATATTAATTTTGAAATTGCTTCAACTGTTCACCTATTCATGTATTTATACAAATACCTTTTTAAAGGCCCTGATCACATAAATTATACTATTAACAATAAATTTGAAAATTCCAGTCAACAACCTATTAATGAATTCAATGATTATATTAATGGAAGATACCTATCAGCACCTGAAGCAGCGTGGAGAATATTTCGTTATCCTGTAACTACATCAGATCCATCAGTTCTGACACTTCCTATACATCTTCAAAATGCTAACATCCCACAATATCGACGAACTCGAAATATTACATCAACAGCTTCATTACTAGATCGTTACTTCCTTAGACCACTAGACTCCCGTTTTAGTAACCTAAAATATACAGAATACTATGAACAATATATACTATATCCCTACCAGTATAATGAAATACGCAAAGATGACTTTATTGAAAAAGAACATTTAAAAATACAGAGAAAAATTGTTCGAAAACGAACTACCAATAAAATTACTAGAATAGTTTTAGTTCCTCCAGGAACTGGTGAAATATTTTACCTAAGAACAATCTTAATGCATCGTGCTGCTTGGACATGGAATGATCTTAAAACAGTAAATGAACACACTTATAATACGTATCAAGAAGCTGCACACGAAATAGGACTATTTACAAAAGAAAATGAAGATATCCTTACCATGGAAGAAGCCGTTGCCAATTATTATACACCTGCACAACTGCGCTTTCTATTTGTACAACTTATATTAGATGGTGCTGCAGCTCTTGAACTGTGGGAAAAGTATAAAAAAATTTTCTCAACCGATCATCAAGAACAATTACATAATAATCTAAATGCTACTGAAATAACATTGCAACAAATAGCTTCCATGATTGCAGAACGTGGACGACGTATGAAAGACTTTGGACTTCCAGAACCAAATACCTGGACACGAGAAATAATTGGGTGGTCTTTATATATTAAAAAAAAAATTGTATGTATTTATATTTATTGATATTTTAGATTTGTTAAATTTTTCTTTCTTAAGTTTATTAGTGATTATAAGTATAAATAAATACAATGTTTGTAGTTTTTGATATTTATTTTGTTTAAAAATTATGCATTATAAATATTTGAGTAAATTTTTTAATGTTAGTATGGAACCTATGTTTTTCAGAAATTAACGTAATTAAACAAAACTTCTGACATTCTAAATACAAATTTTATATTCTACCGCCTAGAGTGTTAAATTTCAACAATTTTATGTAAATTTACATAAAATTCTGTAAATAGAAATTTCAAAAATTGTAATTTTAAATATATAACATTTGTTTTTGAAACCAAACTTTCGACGATTTACGAGTTACAAATCCAATCGCACAATCAAATCAAATAATACAACAATAATGACCGAAATTCTATAAATCTATTACTTTATGCATGCCAAATAAAAATTACATGAAATTTAATTTATGTAACAAAATCCCACTACAACACAATAATCACCAAAATAAATTATAACAAAAATACTGAAAAATAAAAATCATAAAATTTATTAACAAAATAATAAAAAAAAAAGTAAACAAAAATTCTAACTTTAACTTTTTTTATTAAACATACATAAATTTAATACAAAACTCACATACAATCTTTAACTCTCAAATTATTCTATTTCATATAAATTATAAACATCGTATCATTATGTGCAAACTACACACTAAATTTCAAAATCGAAAATTTGAATATATATAACCAATAAATTGCTTTAACAAAAAATTTAATAAAACTATATACAATTAAAAATAGGCGCCGTGGGCGCCAGCCCTACCCTTGTAAAGTAAATAAATTTGGTTAGGTAGTTATCGAAAAACTTTGCTAAAGTCTAAAGTTTAGAAAGAATTTGTCCCTTCTATTAGTAAGATAATTTTTCTTTAAACTTTGAGATTAAGTATAATCGATAATTTTCTAATCAGATTACATGAATTTTTTTATTTTACTTCTATACATTGTTATATTTTTGTCGAATTTTGTTAGGTAGTTGTCAAGAAAACTTGCTTAAGTTTAGGAGAAATCTGTCCTGCCTATTAGGCGAAAGTTAATTTTTCGTTTGCATTACTTGCCGACCCAAATTTTTCAAAAACTTGAATTTTTTTTTTAAACAAAATAATGGTATTTATTTTAATAGTTTTAATGTATTTAATTCAAAAAAAAAATCAATAGTTATTTAATTAAAATATAAAGACATACAAGAATTACACCAGAAAAACAGTACAATATCGAAACATTTTGGAATGTTGCCCTTTATGAAATCTGATTGGTTGAATCTAATATAGTACAATTTGTAATTTATTTAACGCATTATTATCTGATGATACTGAAATTGAACTTCTTTGTTTAGAGTTAAGTTAAAGTTAAGGTTAGGGTTCATAATAAAAGGGTACAAGAGTAAATGTGGATTTTAATAGGGTTCACATTTTCAAATCAAGACTCCAAATTTCAGCATCATTCATCTCAGTATCATCGCCGTTTATTATCACATTAACACAGTTAAATAATCCCTTCATACAGTATTGTTAACTAAACAAAATAAGTACGAATTTTTCATCATTAATATTAAAATCTAATGGCTCTATTTTGGTAGTCGTGTTTATGTGAAAATTACACTTAGCCATCAATAATACATAATAATGCCTAATACTACAGTGATCGCAAAGAAGATCCGGAAAAATAATATGCACCAATTTTTTTCCAAATTATTCTTCATTTTGGTTTAAACGAAATGCTAAAAATTGCAAGATTGTCGAAATATTATCACGCAATGGACGATCATTCGCAAAGAATGTATGGAGTGAACAATTATTTCCAGATCTTATTTTTTTTTGAATATTATCATGTTTCTGTCCCATAATGTAGATCGTTTTTGACTGTTTG